AGGTGTTTATCACCAGGTGTGCAGGTGTTTATCACCAGGTGTGCAGGTGTTTATCACCAGGTGTGCAGGTGTTTATCACCAGGTGTGCAGGTGTTTATCACCAGGTGTGCAGGTGTTTATCACCAGGTGTGCAGGTGTTTCTCACCAGGTGTGCAGGTGTTTATCACCAAGTGTGCAGGTGTTTATCACCAAGTGTGCAGGTGTTTATCACCAGGTGTGCAGGTGTTTATCACCAGGTGTGCAGGTGTTTCTCACCACGTGTGCAGGTGTTTCTCACCACGTGTGCAGGTGTTTATCACCAGGTGTGCAGGTGTTTATCACCAGGTGTGAGGTGTTTATCACCAGGTGTGCAGGTGTTTATCACCAGGTGTGCAGGTGTTTATTACCAAGTGTGCAGGTGTTTATCACCAAGTGTGCAGGTGTTTATTACCAAGTGTGCAGGTGTTTATCACCAGGTGTGCAGATGCTTGTTACCAAGTGTGCAGGTGTGCAGATGTTTATTTCCAATTGTGCAGGTGTGCATATGATTATTACCAAGTGTGCATATGATTATTACCAAGTGTGCAGATGTTTATCACCAGGTGTGCAGGTGTTTATCACCAGGTGTGCATATGATTATTACCAAGTGTGCAGGTGTTTATCACCAGGTGTGCAGGTGTTTCTCACCAGGTGTGCAGGTGTTTATCACCAGGTGTGCAGGTGTTTATTACCAAGTGTGCAGGTGTTTATCACCAGGTGTGCAGATGCTTGTTACCAAGTGTGCAGGTGTGCAGATGTTTATTTCCAATTGTGCAGGTGTGCATATGATTATTACCAAGTGTGCAGATGATTATCACCAGGTGTGCATATGATTATTACCAAGTGTGCAGATGTTTATCACCAGGTGTGCATATGATTATTACCAAGTGTGCAGGTGTTTATCACCAGGTGTGCAGGTGATTATTACCAAGTGTGCAGATGTTTATCACCAGGTGTGCATATGATTATTACCAAGTGTGCAGATGTTTATCACCAGGTGTGCATATGATTATTACCAAGTGTGCAGATGTTTATCACCAGGT